TTTTTTTTTTTTTTTTTTAAAGGTGGACATGGATTATGTTCTTGAACCTAAAGGATTTCTGTGAACTGGAGTGACTAGGTCCACTAATTATGTGGCAACCCAATACCGCAGGGACGAGGACCGTCTGGCTTCAACCATCAATAATAAAGGATGTAATTGTACCGGCAAGGGTCATACAATCCTGCCCGTGTCCTGTTTGCTCGTGCTTTGTGTCTCCGGCCCTCCCGCCCCGGGCTGGCCAGGCCTCACAGGGATCCAGGGCCGGGTACCTGCTGTCGTGGGGGTACAGCAGCTGGCGGCTGCCACAGATGTCCACCCACACGCTTTAGAGAGCCCAGAGCCGGCGCCGGCTGCCGAGGCCTGTGATGCCGGACGGTGCCAGGTGTGGGAAACTCCGGTTCCTCCTCACCTTCTCTTTGGAGTGTTTTTATTACCGGAGAGAAGCGCCATCGCGTGGTGCTGTAAGACCATAGACTTTGGAGGCAGACTGTCAGAGTCCGTATCCCAGCTCGGCCACCGTTTGGCTGTGTGGGCAAGTCCCTTAACCTCCTGAGCCCCATTTTCGTCCTCTCTGAAATTTGGAGAATAACCGGACCAGCCTCGGAGGGGTGAGGACGAAATGTGTGAATGTACCTCCGGTGCTCAGAACGGTATTGAATGTCGTAGGTGCTGGAGAGCGTTTACTGATATTGTCGTCTCTTTCCTGGGACAAGTCCACCTTGAACAACAGGAAACAGGACACCGTGCGGGAGGGTGAGCCTGAGGCCTCCGCAGGTCCCTTCACTCGCGTGCGCAGACACCGCACCGTGTTGAGGCCAGGTCTTGCGCCGGGAGCACACAAGCCCTTGGGCCGGCGTCGTGCCTCAAGGCAACCCGGTGGAGCCCGGGGGACAGGTGTGTACGCCCGCCAAGATCTCTGGGCTGGCAGACGTGGGTCTGATTTCCAGCATCCCCTCTTCTTATCCGTATAACTGTGGGCAGTTACTTCCTGGTTTTCTCATCTGCAGAATGGGCACTGTGGTTCCTCCTCACGGGGTTGTTATAAATTCAGAGATGATGTACGTGGACCGTTTTTGTCCCAGGAGTGGCCCAGAGTGAGTACTTGAGGAGTGGCTGTTGTGACGTTTAATTCAGAAAGAGGTCCAGCGGGTGGTCAGGGCTGCTTGTGGTTTGCCCCGGGGCACGTGGGACACACGTGACTTCGTTGTAACTGGGCCAGATTCCCTTCGCTTGAGCCTGACGCAGACATAGCTGCCATTTTTAGGACATGTTGAAATGTTACTTTCAGTTATCTTTTCAAACTTCAGAAGGATTTTGAAAAGTCATTGTCTCTCAGCTTACATTATGATTTCTAAGTAGGGGAACAAAAATGACCAAGGATAGCTACGAGAATCACACTAAACCAGTGTTTCTCAAAGCATGGTGCCCGGGGGGACATGATCATCATCTGGGCGTTTGTTAGAAACACGAGTTCTCAGGCCTTCCCCCCACAGACCCGCTGAAGAAACTGGGGCTGGGGCACAGCAAGTGCCCACCAGCTGTGGCAACCGCCGGTGAACTGGAGAGGCCCCGAGAATAAAGCCAGGAGAAGGGACCCGAAGATAGCTGCCTTCGGGCCTCCCGTCATTGGGTGTGTGCGGGGCAGGGCCCGGCCAGATTGGCCCCCTGGGCAGTGCCGGGCCAGTGTATCCTTTGCTTCCCGGACAAAGAGGGACCTTCCTCCTTGGCTTCCGTGGTCCTTTGTTCCACATATTTGAGCCACCCTGGGGGTCCTTCCTGGAATTACAGTGAAGGGCAAGACTTCCTTGGCCTCCGCCTTGCTTGGAACTTGGCTTGCCTTAAATCAGGCAAAAACAGATTGGAGCAGAGTAACTGCAGGTAGTCGCAGCTGTGATAAGCGTCGTGCAATTTCTGCACCACTGGGTTTTCAAAGCGACTGCCGGTTCCCGGTCCAAGGGGCGTTCCTCAGCCCTTGTCTCATCAGCCTCTCCCCTGCTCCTTGGGAGCCTTTCTGACCTTGACTTCAAGGTCACCGCATTCTCCCTCCTTTGCAGTTTTCCCCGCTGGCTGCCCTCCAGATAGTAGAGTCTCCCTCAGGTGCTGCTCTGTCCATGGCCACCCAGGAGGAGATCTCAGCGGGACTCCAGGCTTTAAATATCGCGCCTCCACTGACAGCCCCCACCTTTGTTCCCGGCGGGGCCTCTTCCCTGAACTTCAGCGTCTAGCTGCCTGCTGGGTGCTCCACTGGATGTCTGACAACCACCTGGCTAACAAGTGCGGGCTATACTCTTTCTGTTTCCTGTCTTGTTGGGCCTCTTCTCCTTGCATCTTTCCCCATTTTGGAAAATGGCAGACTTCGCCTTCTTTTTCAGGTCTAAACTTGACAGTTGTTCTTGACCTCTCTCCTCTCTCTCCTCTCAACCCTCCTCCCGTCTGACTGCCGTTTTGCTGGTGTTTGCACTCTGTTGGTGCGGCCGGCTTTGAGGGCTGTGACCTGCTGGGGGTTCAGATGATCTGGTGCAGTCAGCCTGGTGCGGCACGGATGTGCTTTACTGTCCCTCAGTTGCCTGAGCTGTTGGAAATGGGGACTGCACACATCTGGGGACGCTTTAGAGCAAAGTTTGTGAGTCTTTTAGACGTAACACTGGGTATACAGACTTGAGGCATCGGCACCATTGTCAGGAAATGTCCTGTCTGGGCTCCGAGGCAGCTACCGACAGGCAGGGATTACGGTGAGGGGTACGGTGTGTGGGCTTTAGTGTCCTGGATAAAAGATGTCATGTGAGCAAAGAAGCGTACACGTATTTGGGCTTGTATCACCTGGAACATCTTGGATGGCCTTCTGGAATTTCAAGCCAGCTCTTAGATGTTAAAGAGAGAATCCCAGAAGAAGGCAGATCCAGAACGGCTTAAAGTGATATCCCTTCTCCTCACCTCTGGGTTCTGTGAAGTCTGGGTAGTCAGAAAAACCTACATCATCCCAAACTGCAGAGAAGATAAGGCTGGATGGTCCGGGCAGGTGACTGGTGATGGGCCTACAGATCAGTCTAAAACGACAGTGAGAAAACCTCCTTCGTTTGCAGCATCCCTTATGCCTTTGGAAAGTAGGTTCGAGGCAGTTTG